CACATCTTACAAGATTCTTGCTGGTTATATGGGGGGAAAGTCTTTCTTTTATCAAATTTGGCAGCCATTAGGCGTCCATGTAAAAAATACATTTTTTGTTCTTTTTCTTCAAAGTCCCCTTTTCGGCACATTTCGCCTCTATAACTGCTTTTTGTTTGAAGAATTTAAAAAAAGATATAGTTATTCTCCTACCACTAAAAGTCATTGGTTACGAGGTATCGCTCTCCGAAACTTCCTAAAGACCGTCATATTGACTTATGTTACTTACGTTATTTCGCCTATAGGCCGAATTCGGCCGAATTTGAGTATGATGTTGTCTGACATGTGTATAATTGAACTAAACTACATTGGTTTCTTTTGCAATTTGTTTTGTGTAAAACGCTATCCCTCCCCGGCTATAAACCTAACAGGCGGCTGTGTCATTCTAAACAGATGACGTCTATAATGAGAATTGATAAGTCATTATTCATAAACCATTCATCTGTTTCTAATAAATTCCAGTCAGCCAGATTAATTACTTCTCTTAAATTAATAACATATGGTATTATATTTAGAGTCATAATAAATGTAGATATTGTAATTAATATTTCATCGCTTTCTACTATTCTGCTCCGAAAGTTAATCTCAAAAGTGACATGAAACAAATTGCAAAAGAAACAATTGCAGTTTGATTCTGTCATACTTATATTACACAACATCATACTCAAATTCGGCCAAAGTCTACCAAGGCAAAATGACGTAATTAACATAATTCAATATGGCGGTCTCAAGGAAGTTTTTGAGAGTGATATCTTTAACTTGTGTATTTCAGTTTGTTTTGTGAAAAAACGCTATCCCTCCCCGGCTATAAACCTAACAGGCGTCTGTGTCATTCTAAACAGATGACGTCTATAATGAGAAGTCATTATTCATAAACCATTCATCCCTTTCTAATAAATTCTAGTCAGCCAGATTAATTACTTCTCTTAAATTAATAACATATGGTATTATATTTAGAGTCATAATTAATGTAGATATTGTAATTAATATTTCATCGCTTTCTACAGCAGACCACTGTTAAAATTATATGTATATTTACAGTTATAAGTATAGTAAAAATACAGTGCCGGATTTGTCAGATCACATGGTTTGTTAACTTACATTTAAAACGATGTAAGAGCATATGAATACAGGGCTTATGTAAGATTACATCAAAATGAATGTAGTAATACAACCATATGTTAGTTTACATTTAATATGAGCTGTATATTAACAGAATGCCATTTGAAATATTATTTTTACAGAAAATTGCAAATTTACTGTCAAATAGTGGTCACATCGGTTATTCCCCCTTTGACCACATATGAAATATTTAGTTTTCTGTCAGTCAGTTTAGTCGATCTATTTTAGAGAAATAGGTTATTCAAAATCTGAATGCACCGAACTGGCTAATAAAGTCAGGCATGTGCCATACATTGGGTTGTGTGCGACATTTTGCTTGGACTGTACCCTTTTCATTGTAAGGAGCATAACAGTAGGACATTAAACCTCATTTCATTTAATTTCTTTACATTATCGAATGTTGTTTCACGTGCTCGACTGAAAGGTTCGCAAAACTTTCTATGTTCGCCAGGATCGAACCTAGGACTAATTAGCCAAGCGGGGACAAACACATTCCTTTAAGTAATTTTACCTTGGCAAATTACACAATATGTAATTCTACAATAGTTGCGAAGTATTAATACATAAACTCTCTCAAAATACACAACATGTTTGTTTTTTTAAGGTTATTGTACCAATTTATGTAAATTAACATCATGGTAGTTTTACAAGTATTCCATTTATAGATACGTAATTTTATCCTGGATGTATAATAACTAGAGGTAAAGTTACATTACAGACTGTGAAATAACATACAATGTTAAAATACAGTTTTTACGATGGCAATATTTCTGCCAGTTAAAAAAAGGTAAAAATACATAATAATTTAACAGTTTAATGTTCCAACTGATCACTTTTAATTCAAATAATACTTTTAATATCATTGTCAGGCCTTTTAATTTATAGCTTTCAGTACGGGAAACTTACGAAAACCCAATGCAATTCCATCCTTTAATCTGTGCATGCCTCAACCATTACGATCGAATTGGGCTCTTAACAGACACGATCACTTATTGATTGATGGCCCAGCAGAATACAAATTGTTTAGCGGTCACCTTCAATCACTGAATACAAAAGACCAACCCAGTGCTTGTCAGATAATTGAATCTGAACAAGCAGACCTCTTTAAGAATAAAAACATAAGAATAAAAAAAATATGTCAACAGACTTTTTTCTCTTCTCTTGAGAATAGTACTGAACTACATTTATCAAGATTTATATTTATAGCATTCTCGTTATAATCATGACTTAAACGACGGGTTTTAGTTTAGAGTCGACCGGGATGATTGAATCCTTTAGGTTTTAATGAAGACTGGGTAATATATTCATCACACTTCCTTAAATGAGATCAGTCCTTTGGGTATTAAGACAATGGATGTTCCAACAAATTAATTCTCTAGACAATAGACAGGCTATTACATGGTAAGAATTGCCATTCTTATAGTGGCAATATAGACTGGTTACTGCTAATGTGGTCCTTCGATTTGATTGAATGGGCTTCTAAGTGTCATTACATTTATTTTATTCCGAAAACTCAACACAAATTAGGTCATTTCGGGACTAACATGAGCAGTGGGAGGATACCGGGGTACCCAGGGAAAACCCACGAGGTTGTACAGGCGAGGAATCGAAACAACACCACTTGACTCAAAACAAAGTTAGGAAAAAGGTGAAACGTTATTGATACTTTGTATATAATACATCGATTACTATTCAAAAAAAGTAGGGGATATTTGATTTTTAAGTGTTATTAAAGTCACCTAATGAAACTGACGAAGAAACAAATGACAAAATGAAATGAAGTTCACATTCATCGATTTATTCCAAATGATCGTTAGACTAAGTAAGGCACAGACTGACCATTACAAGGGTAAAATGATACCCGGGGTCAAACAGCAAAGTTACCACAGCATCACAACCAAGTCAGTAACGGGTAAATCCTCCTCTGTTTGCCAAACACGCATTGATCCGACGTGGCATACTCCTAATGAGACGTCTAAGGTCATTTTGGTCCAGATTGTCCCATTCCTGTTGCAACGCAGCAGCAAGTTCTTGGACATTGGCAGGACGTTGTTGACGTTGACGTAACCTCTGTCCAAGCATGTCCCAGACATGCTCGATGGGGGAGAGGTCGGGACTCAGTGCTGGCCAAGGTAATGTGGTGATGTTCTGTTGTTGGAGGTAACCTGTAACGATCCTGGCCCTGTGACATCTTGCGTTGTCATCCTGGAAGATGAAACGGCGGCCATGACGTCGTGCGAACGGCACAACATGGACTGCCAAGATGTTGTCCCGGTAGTACTGGCCTGTAACACGCCCTGCAACAACATGTAAAGCCGTTCTTCCAGCAACAGTGATGCCTCCCCACACCATAACAGAACCATCCCCAAATCGATCATGTCTGATGACGTTAACGTCTTGGAAGCGCTCGTTTCGACGACGCCACACCCTCCTACGTCTGTCCAAAAAATCAACAGTGAACCTTGACTCATCTGAAAACATCACATTGCTCCAGCGTCGATTATCCCAGTGTTGACGATCCCTACACCAACGACGTCTTGCCTGAATGTGATGATCTCTCAAACAAGGGATCACGCGAGGACGTCGGGCGCGAAGGTGACCCCTATGCAGTCGATTCCGAATCGTCTGGCCACTCACTCTCACACCAGTGTCTGTTTGAAGACGAGCGCTGATCTGATTTGCTGTGATGACACGATTTCTCAAGGCCAAGGTACGGATAAATCGATCCTGGGCTTGAGTTGTCGCCCTTGGTCGACCTGAGCGTGGTCTGTCCTGTACAGATTGTGTATCACGGTATCTGGACCATAGCCTGCTTATGACAGACTGAGAAACATTCATCGTCCGCGCCACAACCGCCTGTGTTGTGCCGATCTGTAGCATGCCAAGGGCACGTAACCTTTCATTTTGGGTAAGCCGACGCATATCAAAATTTGTTTTCTGGTCACTAAAACAATTAAACTGATGTTTCCACCCTGGAATTCAATGCCACAATGACTGTAACATTCAAAGTCAGAGTCGTGCAAATCTTGGGTTGGACCCCCATGATGATCCCAAGCATCACCTGCATTCCATGCGGTAGCTATTGGTGCGTTTGGGCGTCACATGTAACTGGAAATGTTTCTTCTGTTAGGTTCTATAGTGACTTTTTTCGTAGTCATTTGCATATTTTAGTATTATGCCCCCAAAATCAAATATCCCCTACTTTTTTTGAATAGTATATAATGTTCAAAACTATGCACTACCGGTATAGGTTTTAAACTGATTTACCAGCTAATCCCAGATACGAATATAATGTTCAAAACTATGCCACATTGACATAGAATGGATTTCACATGGTTGATAACTATTACTATTATCCACTACCGGTATAGGTTTTAAACTGATTTACCAGCTAATCCCAGATACGAATATACTAGAATAACGTAGTTTTTTGCTGGTCGAACGTGTTCACAAATTTAAGTTGAATGACATCAAGTCCGACTAACTTGCTGATATCTTAACAGGACCGCCTTTACAACATTAAAGCCAAAGCCGTGCACTGGGGTCCGTACCCACACAACCACTCACATGAATAAAAATGTAAATGGTCGAGAAAATTAAACATATATTTTTTATTATATTGGTACTTCCAACAAAATCTGTGTTTAAACATTAAAAAAACATAGCAACATATTACATAGATTAGCATCGGTCCGCTATATTCGAGGGACCCTCTGGCATCTGCCCCGCGCGTGCGCATGTGTTCAGACGGCCCTGACCGTTAGGTGTGTTGTCGTACAAATTATAACAGATGTATTAGCAAGTGACATATAGTTAACATATTATTATTCTCTTTTCAGATGAAATTCGAATATTGTCCAAAGAGGTGAGATATGTGGATGCTACAGAAGGTGAAAAACGACCCATATCTTCCCCGTTCACCCTTTTAAGAGAATCTTTCTCCAAACCATCTAAAAACCCACCCTACATTTACCATGCTTCCAAACAGCTAAAGGTAATATATGCAGCTTTACATCTAGCATCCATTCATTTACATGCATGCTGATGTTATTTATATATGTGTTCAGTTCCAGTCGATGATTTACATATTTATAGGATTGCGGAAATATATCTCTAAATTAACAAAAGACGAGCATATTTTTTACGCCAAGAGATGTAAGATTTAGATAAAGAGTTGACAGTTATAGCTTTCATAAATATATTGAAAACGTAATTTAAATTACTTAGTTCTGAGCGAAGTTATTATTGTTGGCAGTTTTTCTTTTCATTGCTATCATTCTTACGATAATAAACAAAGTCTCAATTACCCATTTTAAAATTAAATTAATAAATGGGGACCGTGTTCCAATCCATTAAAAATCACGACCACCCGATTTTTTAGAGAGTTGATTATGAGCTTGTTATCTGCATAAATATCTAATTAATAATTTATATAACATTTGAGACCAAAAGAAAGACTTCTAATAGACAGATTTAGCTCTTACACAATTCATCTTTAAAACAATATTTGGTTGGCAGAGGGAAAAGTTGAAAATTTAATTGATGGAGATCCCTAATGATTGACGAACCACCTTTTTTTTGGTAGGGATTTTCAGCACATGCCACACCGATTTATCAATAATTGAAATTTATTCCTTGATGCCAGTTGACCATAATGTATGGTAGCCCAGATACGTGTCTAGATTCGGATATGGGCTAGCACACACGTCACATGTGGATATTGTATAGCACACAGAGCTATAAATGAAATGAAATGATATGGGGTTTAACGTCCTACTGTTTTGCTCCGAACTGGGCTAATGAAGACGGACATACGCCATACAGTAGGCTATGAGGGAAATTTTGCCAGGACAGCGGCACTACGGCCTGCTCTTATATCGAATTCCAACTGTCAAGGAATCTTTTACGTGCACACCAATGTGTATACGGGCCCTCCGTCCTGCATCCCTGACAAGGGGGAACCACGCCGTTAAATCTCGATGAACTTTCTCCGCCAATGCAGGGATCGAACACCCGACCCCCAGGCTAGCGAGCCGGCGTCTTACCCACTAAGCCACCGTGATCCCCCAGCACACAGAGCAACAAAGAAGAGGAAAATGAATATTGTTCTAGGTAATGCTCAGTGTTACGTCTAGAACATAACTAAAGCATAATTTCCAGATCTAACAATGTCAGAGTGAGAAATGAACTTATGGTGAATTATTAGCGGCGAACATAGAAGAGGGGAAGAAGGGCGATGACCCTGGGCATGAAATTTTAGATTATCACTAGCTGCCCTACTTAAAAGGCCAATCTCGATTACATTTTGGAGAATAAACCTGTTTAATTTTGTGTTAAAAGCCCCCAAAATCGTCTACCTTTTCAAATAGATTATCAGAGCACCAAACGAAAACATTGACCCGAAATCTTAAAAGGGTTACGTGTCCAGATAACTTGGCAATGGCGACTGGTGTCACAAGCTGTATTATACGATGTCTGGATAAAACCATACTTTTATCTTATAAAAATAACGTATAGGTGAAATTTACCGTTCGTTATCAACTACAGCATGTTGGTCATGCACCAGGGCCTTAACTAGCTCAGAGCAATGAGAGGGCGCGTGAGGTGTTCTCAGGGGTGCTGTAAAATTGACAATTGTTTTTATGGTCGATAATATTTTCACGGGTGGGGGGAGGGGGTCGTCAGTTACGGGACTGTCATGCAGGAGTGCTTGTAAAATGGACGGACAATGTTTTTCTATTGTTTTCATGGTCGACAATTTTTTCACGCCCCCCCCCCCTCAGTTACGGGCCTGTCATGCACTGTATAGACCTTAAAGGGAACGGCAATAGATTATCAGCTCACCAAACGAAAACACTGACCCGAAGTCTTATAAAAGGGATACGTGTCCGGATAAGCGGTTTTGACGTTCACGTCCAAACGATCAATATTTTGTGCTTAAATTTTGAGACAAGCTAAATACACCATTCCTCTATATTATAGCGCTTAAATTTCATACGTACACGGACTTATATTTCTGAGACCCTGTTAATTTCGGGATGGTTCATCTTTTTTCTTTACATTTAAGTTGTCTTCCTTTCTCAGAATTCTCAGTAAGTCTACTAGAACAGTAGTTGGCCCCGGGCATCACTAAACCTTTGTACTCCACTGGGAATTATTTATCTTCATAACTTTTTTTTAAAAAAAAGCTATACACTGGACACTACAGTGTAACGATCGACAGTACACGCGTTAGACCACTCCGACAGCCGACTTAATCTATTTCCAAATATTCTTAAAATATACGAGCGTATGATAACCAATGTGCTTAGAACAAGTTCCATGTAGATTTTCTAAGATTTGTCTTATTCTAAGAAAGCTCTAAACTGACTAATTATCCACAGAACTCACATAATCTCATATCAACATTTTGTCTCCGTTGGTCTCCCATGTTAAATCAAATAATATTTTTTGTACTGAAAATCGAAGACTATTTTATTCGGAAAGAAATGTGAAAGGTTGAAAGTTAAGAATGTGGAGTTTTTATTATCTCATAGGAATTAACTTCTATGCAAGTATTAAGTTATACAACACTAGAATACAAAATGGTCTTAAAATGGCATTTTTCAGTTTTAAATTCTAGCACACAATGAATCAATCTATCGTCAGTTTGGTCCTCTAATCTCATTATTTACACATCAAAAATAATCTTTTACTCCAAATCTAAAAAAAAAAGGGTCGTTTTTAAATTAATGTGGCTTATTAGAATGCAGATTTGGACCTACACGCAATTGTAAACGATTTTATTTTTATAGTTTCTGAAATACTGCTATTAAATGGCAGTTAGATATCTCATTTCTGTTGAGGTTTTTTGTGTTTATTTCTCATCGTTTGTATTTTTTGTTGCGTGTCTCGGTGGAAATCACGAGTGAATTAGATGCGAAATATTACTCATGTTAGAAGCATAGACTATATGTTTTTCATAATAAAAGCAATGTCATACACAGATCCAGAAAGCTGTGTTACAATACGTGGCCATTGATCGTTTTTACATTGCATCAAAGCTGGTCGTTTACACAGATATGGTTAAAAAATACATTCGATCTACTTTTAATGAATCCAAACTTGCCTGAGGTGGTCGATTGTGGTACAGAAAGTCTTAGATGTGGTCCATTTTATTTTTTAGGTTGGGATTATATTTGATGCGGTAGAGTGTCTGCGAGACAAAGGACCGTTTCAATGTTTGTACGAACGATAGGCATATTAGCCAGGGGGCGGGGGGGGGGGGCAGCTACCCCCCTCCCTAACTTTCGGGCAATCTGACTTTTCGGGCAGACGGGTAAAGTGAAAACACAAATTATTATTTCATCTAGTTGGCAAAAACAGTGCCCGAAATCTAATGAAACACTAATTTTGCTTTTCTTTTAATTGAATACCATTAATTTGTACTGAATTGTCCATGGATTAAAACATTTTGCCTAGAGCCACTCTACTTTGTGCCACATTTTTCGGACATCGATTATTATTTGTGAATGCAGCTGCGACAGTCCGATTGGATGGTTAGAATTCAGGTCGGCATAGAGTGGGATTTCGGTAACAAAACGATTGGAAACTTTGAAGTTGCTTAACTCATGGGCTAGAATTGCAGAAAAACGCATTTGCGGCGGTTAAATTTTCAAAAAATTTCTCGGGGAGCGCGAGGCCCCCATATCCCGCGACGATCGATTGGTTGTTTGGGATTCAGGTAAACCACCTATAGGCTATATTGGACCACATTTAAGTTTCTGTATTCATGGGCTGGAATAGCAGGAAAACACGTTTCCGGCAGTTAAATTTTCAAAATTTGCTACGTGGACTATAAACGATTGATTGGTTGATTGGAATTCGAGTTAGCTACCTAAGTTAGGCTATATCAGACTAAATTTCAGGTTCTGCTCCCACCCCACCCCAACATTCATCGAGCCCGTGCGCCTATGCACAGAACGCCGAAATTTCGACAATAAACAAAAAGTACAATATGGTGAATTTTCAGGTTAGCGAAACATTAAATCCCATCCTGTCGGTATCCAGTAAAGTTGTTTGTGTCATTCATCTTGGAAACTGGTAAGGACAAAAAAACCGAGGCCTCGTGTACACGTCGGTGTTCACGTAAAAGAACCCTTGACAGTTGCAATTGAAAATAAAAATAGGCCGTAGCGCCTATTGTCCGAACAAAATTGTCCTCATTGCACACTGTATTGGCGTAGGCCCGTCTTCATTAGCCCAGTCGGCGCGGAAAAGTAGGACGTTAATTCCCATTTAATTTCACCCTGGAAACATTGCTTTTTTAGTTAAACTTGGAATTCAACTTAGTGTTGACTGTGTACTTGCGCGAATAAAAACACACAACCATATGTTTGTCTGAGTTCCTTAATCTTCTAGCAATTTTACCGCTAATTGCGCCAAAAGCCCACTGATCAAATTTCACAGTCCAAAAGCCAAGTATATCGATTGGATTACCAATTCTTGCAACAGACGAGTCTTATCGCCAACAAACTTTACTCCAATATCCACTCGTCGCAATGAATTTTCTGTTTGAAGATTTGTATTTCTGATTTGAAAAATGCAATTGTACTGTTGCCGTTTTCTGAATTATTGTTTTTCATTTAGTATACAATATGTAGACTGTATTAATTTGAAGATACATTTTGTAAGATTTGGATACAGAGCTTTGACCGTTCTCGCTCTAATAGTTTAAAAGTAGATAATAAAAATGTCAGTTCTGACAAGAAAAAACTATACAACATTTAAAGCAAAAAAAGACCTGCAATTGGCGCATTTAACTCTTACATAGTGCCTCTGCTCAACTAAAGCCCGGGACCTAATTATACTATTCTGTACTCAATTTTACAGTCCCTGTTTTGGGAGCCTAAAATTGAACTCTATCACTGCGGTAAACTGCCGCGGAAGTAGTGGTGCTAGAGAATGGCCTGATACATGATTATATTTCATTTTATGGAGTAGTTATAGGTTATCGTATGCGATGAAAACAACAAAAAGAATACGCATCAAAACGTGTTGCAATATGAATGATTCGATGTTTAATTTCATTTCATGATCGCCTTTCAAATAAGAGGCATTGTTTTTATTTAGAATCAAAACAGACAAGCTATTTTCGATCTGCATAAGTGAGGAGACGTGAAGCTATAAATATGGATGCTTCTGTAATCAGTAATTTTATTTTATGTTTAGAACCAGTCTTTGGACTAATCATTGTTAAACCACTTATATCATGGCCTGATGGGATTCTCATGAGTTTTATTGTAATTTCATTCCTGTCATTACCAGTAACGTTAAGCCAATCAATAGATACATTTCTCGTTGCTTTATTTTCAGAGAAAATTACCATCTTTTACCATCAAAGAGAGTCCCGGTCCTTTGACTTATTTAAACATGACGCCAATAGCTGAGGAACAAGAAAGAAGGATTGAATTGCTCAAGAACAGTTGTCAAGGCAACGAGGATCGGTATCAAGGATTATCCAGCACGAAGTGGGCCTTTGAGAGGATCGAGGTGGATACTAACTCGCATCTTGTCTATTGTCCCTTGTTAAAAGTCGGCTCTACGTTTTGGCGCCGTGTTTTTTATGCTTTGAGAACAAAGTCAACCATTCACACCCCCTACGATATCAGTATTAAAACAGCGTTATCTCCAAACCGGAACCGTAAAACGTTAAAAGATTTGCATGTGTCAAATGATTCTTGGAGATTTGTTGAAGAGGCGTCGAAAATAATGTACATCCGCGAACCATATGCCCGACTTCTCTCTGGATATACGGATAAACTTTTTGCTCCGAATCCGTACTTTTGGGGCATCATTGGGAGATATATTATTAGAAATTTTCGGATTAATGCGACTGAGACTAGTAAAAGATGTGGTCATGACGTGACGTTTTCCGAGTTTGTAAAATATGTGATTTATACGGAAGAATATAATAAACCTGAAAGAGACGCCCATTTTACTCCTGCTTACGATCAATGTAAGCCGTGTCAAGTTCAATTTAATATTATTGGTAAAATGGAAACCTTTTTTCAAGACACGTCATATGTAATGAACAAAATAGGTTTTAATGTTAGTAAAGAGCTTTTAAAGGAGTGGGCGAATAAAGCCGAAGAGGACGCGATCTTTGATTCTACGGCGAGTCCATTTAGCTGGAAGAAAGGAATCTCTAAATGTATGAGTATGTATCAGGCCGGAAAACGAATATGGCGTAAAATGCAGATAAGAGGTGTTGTGGATAAGAAAATACCGTTACCATTTGGAACCCACAAAATGAATTCCGTTTCTTCAACCAATTTCATAAAGGCTTTAATAATGTCTAGAAAAAAATCCGAGCATAATAGAAAAAAACAGAAACGAGAAGCATTAGTTGATGCATTTTCTCAAGTTTCTTTAGAAGACAAACTTAAACTAAAAGAACTATATTACCCAGATTTTGAACTATTTGGTTACGATCCAGAACCAAAAGATCTTTTTGAAACACAAGATAGGCGTACTTTCAGGACAAAATATTTTAATTTAAATGGGGTCTAAATTCGGTGTATTATGTTTCAATAAAATGAGAGGGGGTGGTGTTTTTAGCCTGTGGACTGTGATAATGTTATTATATTGGCAGAAATTATTTTGTGTTACGTTATACGTAGATTGCCAGTGCATGCAATACGGTATTAGTTGGGGTTTTTTGTAATGATTTGGTGTCACTTCCAGAGATGTGTGACCTGTGTTGTTATTGTTATGGCTTTTATAAAGTCTTATATTTTGTGAACATATTTACAAAATTAAAATGTGGAGGTCTGTGTGAAATTCATCAGCAACTATTTTTTTCATATCATCAATATTTCATCGTTTAAAGTGACTATAGTTTCGCCTTAATACGTAGATAAGATTCTATTTTCTGCATGAAAAACAAAACAGGATACGGTTACGAAAAGAAGGCTACAGGTACCTCATTGACCGCTTGAAAGACTATACCGCACTGGAAGTTTTTCACTAGGAATGGTTCAATGAATTTGGGTTAATCGTTGAAAGTCTTTTTTATCAACGATCTATTATATTTTGTTTATATTACTTTTTTGGTTGTATTAATATTTATTAATATTTAATATTAATATTTAATGTTTTACTTGTATTTGTTAATCTATATAAAACTGAATGTTATTTTTGCTCACTGTCTATTGGAGTAAACAATCAAAAAATAAAACGGAACGGTATAATTGTTGGTATAATTTTAATCAACGCAGGGCCCATGAGGGGGCGGGGGCAGCTGGGAAGGGTCCGGGGCTATGCTGAGTAACGTTTTTTTTTAAAAAATTAACAAAAATTAACATAAAAAAATGTTACTTGATCGTAAAGTAGAAGAACAGTACTGATGAATTAAAAACGATTAGCCACCTGCCCCCTTCCGTTTGAATCCATTTCAAATGATTTTGGGTATTGAAAAAAAAATAAATAAACGAATGGTTTATGTGATGAATAAAATTCATTTTGTTATTTGGACGTCTGATGGTTACGGTTTTTGTTTGCCATTTGTTTGCTCACTTAAATTTCCTGTCAAAATCGTGCAGATCTGATTACTATTACATCAGGGGGGTTGAATGGCAGAATGGTTAGCGCGTGCGCGCTTTATCATAAGATCTGTCCTTGAGTCAACTGATGTGGTTTCGATTCCCTGGTTGACGTGACAAGGAGTAGTGGCGCCTGCCCAACCTCGTGGGTTTTCTCCGGGTCCTCCGGTTTCCTCCCACTTATAAAGACGCCTACGTACAAGCGAATTATTGAAATAAAATTGTTAGTCCCGAAATTACATCAGTAAAACTAAAACGTAGTACATGTATTTAGTATGTCTTATTATGTTGTGTTAAATCTCAGTTTCTGTATTTAAGCAAAGTGACCTGAAGATGCCCCAGATGTACTTCAAAATGACGCTAGAGACCATGTATTTTTCGAAAATTTTCGGAACAGTGTTGCTTGTCCCAGGGCCCGGAGTACCCTATAGTGGGCCCTGGATCAGCGGCGTGGTTTGGTGATGCACTGGGCCAACTCCTTGATTCCCCTTGTCAGTGGCGCAGAAGAGAGTAGGCAAGCCGGGCAAAATGCCCCTCATAGCACACTGTATGGCGTATGCCCATCTTCGTTAGCCCAGTCGAAGCAGAACAGCAGGACGTTAAACCCTATTTTATTTCATTTCATTTCTTAAGCATAGAGTCTGGTACTGGGACATGCGAGAAGGGGCCGGGGGGCATTTTGAATATGTAAAAAGTGATGAAATAAATGTTTTTATTCAAATTAAGTAGGACAGCATGTCCAACAAGGTTAACAGGGATCATTACCAATTTCAAACAACCTATAATTTTAATTTCACTACTTTGATTGGAAGCCCCCTATCTATTCACCTTTCTCTGCAGCCACTGATTTTAATTACGACTGATTACAACGTTATGCATTTGAGTGACGCTGTTACCTTATAACATACAATAGCAGACATATTACGGAAATAATGCTAGTTATTAGAATTTCCCCGAAAATAAAAAAAGTGTATCATAATATCTCGTAAAAAGATTTGATGAAAGCATCCCGGGTTCTATCACGGTGTTATCCGGGAAAGTTCCCCGGGTTATTTCGTTGTGCCTCCGCCCCCACCCCACTGTAATGATTATATATTATTATATATTGATAGATAGCTACAGATTATAATATTGTGGTCATCATCAATTATTAACAGTAAAGCTGTGTACAGTTCACAGTTCAGGAATCACAATATAAAGCTAATTTGGGATTCTGGAATCAAAATTCGAATAACATTTGATTCCAGAATAATTTATTACAAATTCTTGTTTCTAGAATCGGTTAAAAATTGTAGCCCCAATCGTCTCCTTGTGACACCAATGCTTCATACCAAAATTTAGAGAGAAAATAGTCGTTAAAAATTCTAACCTTTATAGCGTTCACAATCCAATTGTTGGCGGACCGACGCGCTAGCTTTTAAAATGTCAGCGATATTTAAAAAAACCCCCAAAAAACCCACAAACAATTCGGACTTTCGGATGGGACAAAAAACTGAGGTTCACCCGTGTACATTATTGACATGCACGTAAGGAACCCTTGACAGTTGGAATTCAAAGAAGAGTAGACTGTAGCACCACTGTCTGGACAAAATTGTGTATGTAATCCATAGAAATGACCGAGGTATTGTGTTACCGATATTTCCAGCCATAATTACATTGTCAGTTCTGATCCTAACCATGGCTCTGCCTTTTAAATCTGCAAATTAACAACGTGAAACCTACTGATTTCACTGTATTCGGGGTTGTTATATTTTGTGTAGATATAATCTACAGCGAACTATGTTATTATTTCAACCTTTATTAACCACTCACAAATGAAGATCATGAAGGCTTAGCACAATAAAGTGATAAGTGATTTCTGTCTAAAATTTCCCATTCTTGGTTCTTGCAGACATTAAGAGTTAATTGGATATCCGAATAAAATAACGGCGTCTTATTCTCCATCAAATGATGATGTATAGGGATAACTTAATTAATAGCCAGTGGAGATATAGCGTTATTGATTGTCGATATGGACAACATTATAATATTATATACACCCACCTTAGGTTCAATAATAGCAAACAAATAATGAAATTTGTCCAAATATAACCTACGTAAAGAATATTTATGATACTGCATTGCTTTTTTATTATGTTCATAACGTAATAAAGAATGGTATAAATAATGTATTGGGATCTGTCCTGTTCTCTCTACGGCGTTTTATGCAATATGAATACCAATGCTTCCCTGTCTATGCGCTATATTTATATCTAATATAAACAAAACACTTGATCCCATCCATCCTCGGCATCCCCGGTGTACTCATTCCGTTCTACTCCACAGTACCCTCGGTTAATCCATAGGGTTTCCAAGATTTCAAATTATCTGCCCTGGCCTTGATTGTAGCTATGGTCTACAAACCAATCAAACCTGTCGTTTCGCCTTCGTTTTAATAAGGGTAGATAACCATATTCATGCCCATTTACTGAATGATTTATGTAAATAATGTATATATTTCTAATTCATTTATATTTAATTGTATTATCAAAATCTGATTTCAAATATGTATAACATCTATATATTTGAATTTTGTTATTATTATTACTATTCGTTCTTTGTCTGAAATGTTTCATTCTGTTATGTTTATTATTATTGGACTTATACTTGGGTGGAAGCGGACGTTAAATAAAGCTATTTCACGCACACACACATTCACAATAACTTGTCAACGATATCACGTGGACGTAAAATTCCGCGATGGAACGAACGATCGATTCGCAATGAAACTCTTGAACCTACATAATATTTTATAATTTGTTGTTAATAAATATGCATTTAGCATAATTTGGAATTCTCTCATTTAGACTAATTCCTAACCTTGTCCGATGAGAGTTACTTCTCTTTGTCAACTTCCTTTTCAATTAATGATTTATGAGATTGGTCGATAAAAATAGCACAATTATCAAGGGCGGATAACTCTTAAAAGGGTCAGGGTTAGGGTTAGTATTCCCCAAAATACTCATTTGTAATAAGCGACCATTTTGGACCTAGGTGTTATTGCAGACTACGTCTCTTTTTTTTTATCTCTATCTCTTTCTTTGACTAGGCGCCTCTTCCATGGTTGATATTTTGGAGTTCTGTGAATGCGAATCTGTCTTCGTTTGGGGTTGCTGGGTGATCTGGTGTTGATGGAGATCTAGACTCTCCTTCTTTTCAGTGCTGGCGCTAGGCATGTGGGCGACGGTCTGACTGACTTACTTTTCCGGGGTGACTTTTCAGGAGGGGGGGGGGGCTGGCTTCCTGTTTTTCACTCTGTGCTTTACTGTTGGTTGCATTGGTAGAGCTGTTGGATTTACTGTTGGAACTGTCTGCTTTGTGGGTTTCAGCAGTGTCTTTTCTTTTTCTGAGGTTCGTAGAGGGCACTCCTTTCTTGAGTGGCCAAACTTCTCACATCTGAAGCATGGAGAAGGTTGGCCACTTTGTAGTCATCATATAGTTGAATATATAAACTTTTTTTTATTAATTATTAACTGTGAAGTTGAACTGTAACCTGTGTCAATGCCGAAACTTCGGCGGTGCCTGACAATTGATAAATTTTAATTTGTAAAGAGATAAGAAGAGATGTGTCATAACATTATATACGTGCAAAACAATAACTAAAATTTCCTTGTATTATCGGCACCGTACAGTCCTTTTAGAACTGTACATAATACAATTAAGCAAAATAAGCATGCCGTGGATTGAGACTCACTAGTCAGGCGGTCCGATCCTGGTGTTTATAGCGTGAATTCACCTTGTCAGTGGTATTCAGGGGTGGATTGGGCCTGAACATTATATGTGGGGGGGGGGGGGGGTATTGGACCGGCCATGGAGCGATGTTGATCATGGTGTATGTGGCCGGTGGCTTTAACGGGCCGCCACGCCATCACTGGAGTCTGGAATAGGCTGGTTTAATAGACTTTCTGGGCCGGGTGTGCTGGGTGTGGGTCGGAATTCGTAATCCTGCAATGGGAATTCCGAATTTCATCCGAAAATTTCATCGGATTCACCTGACACTGTCGCCCGCAAATTTACTAATTATTAAGTCACCTGCACCCTGTTTGTGGGGATGGTTCGTAACTCAAAAAAAAAAATTCAATTTTAAGGCCTCAGCAAAATTTGATGATAGCTCGTCTGCTGGCTGAATATGAGTGCGAGACGATTTCCTGAGGCTGGTGTTAAAGGCTCAATACCATTCTTGTTGTAACTGAATAATATGTCCCAATCTTTATTCTGGTCAACAAACTGTACTATTTTACAATATTCCAATGAATTGATGATACAAATGTCATCTTAACAGACCTAATTTAAAAAATTGGAAAAATTAAACTAAATGATTTGAAAAGCCTAACGTAAACCTTTTCAAATGTGACTTGGATTTAAAAATATTTTCGAACCCTCTGGACAAGTAAAATAGGATGTTATGGATAATTTACGCAACAGGTAGGACACTTAAACATCTAATACTTAGAATAAGGCTATTATTTATTTTCTGGAGCTGTCAAGCCAGCAAGAGTGTTATTGTCCCTTTAAACATTCCTTGACATCACAGGCTGATGGTTGTAAATTACTTGCAGGTCGGGGTTTTGGCCTAAATTAATCGATTTATGAGATATATTATTTGACAGAGATTATAATCAGATATGCCATCAAATCGCTTTTTGGGTTCCCGGCCCTAATCCGCACCTGGTGGTATTAGCCAGAATGGGCCTCTAGTCATTCGGATAGAACGTTGGCGTGCACGTAAAATAAATAACCCACACAGAACACTGCATGGATACTAAACTTAGGCTGCCTGTCTACAGTTAGCTCCGCTTGAGAACAGACACTAAGCTAGTTAACCGACATTTAAATTCCTAAATCGACGAATATAGTCGATAACACTAAGTATAATTCGAGAATTTGGTTAAATATTCATTCTGCTTCCATTTAATACAATTGAAAAAGTTTATTCAATCTTTGTGTGTACGACAGATGTGAAACAGATTAGAACCGCATTAAAAAACGGTATACTTATTTTTGGATATGGCGGCCATTTAGTGCAGAGATCTATTCTCGAAATATGAATTAGATGGATCTCTGTGTGCAGAATGCAGTGCATGGTGTATACCGGTCTTAATTAACCAGGTTGATGCAGAAAAGTATAGGACTTAAAGTCCATTACATTTTATTTTGTCTGGGGTGCAGAGGAATGGAGACAAGGGGGAATACCCTTTGGGTTGTCAAAAACACCTTTATTTACAAGTTTATAAAACACACCAAATATTGACTTGATCAAAATACATGTAATGATATGTTGGTGGTTAAGTTACCTCTTTAATAATATTCGGAAATCCTGCATATACGCCACTACTTCCGGTATGTCCCAAACCTTAATTATCTTGTAGACCTGAACATCCATTAAAGTTTGATCTCTTATGAAATATATGAAAAGTCTGTTTAATTTTGTCGTCTACAAAATGATTGCAGGAATAGGAGAGGAATATATATCACCGTCTTCGGAAGTGACAAGTAATAGACAACGGAAGGCTGATTTTATTAAGTATTATTTGAGATTATACGGATTCCAGAAGGGGTTTCTTATGTTAGACATGCATTAAAATCCAACGTGACCTTTATATGAAGAGTTTGACGTATTAATCCATAGAAATAGCTGTCCAGTCTGATACGGTTTTATGAAATATCCCCTAAGTGGGTTATATAGAAACTAATAGCTCAAAATCTCGTTGACATATTAAACATAAATACATTTTATTTATGGTTTCCACATGATGACAGATACTCAATATTTGACAGAAATCTTGACGTATTTCTTAAATGGAATTATGTTTAATATCCTATTTTTAATGGGCTAATGAAGGCGAACGTACGCCATAGTGTGCTATAAGGGAAATTGTGTCTGGACAGTCTACTCTTATATCGAATTCCAACTGTCAATGGTTCTTTTACGTGCACGCCAACGTGTACAAGGGACCCTTGTTTGTCGTCCCATCCGACCGACTAGACACTGTCCTTGCCAAGCTTCCCATCCAGCACAACCGAGATCGAACCCCGGACATCCTGGTTAGTGAGCTACCGCCCTACTCACTGAGCCACCGCCGCTCTCTGAATTCTTAAAATATTAGGTTCGACAAAACAGATATGTAACGACACCCGTAACTACTTATAACTATATACTGGAACTATCGTTTGGATCTGGATCCAGTTGGTAAATATTATATCAATCAGCGTGATATTCTTTAAGTGGCATTTAGTAACTGGGCAAATAAATAAACTATAAACATACTGAAAACAGCTACTGATTTATTTAGGCGACGTTTCGACGAATTAGGATTAATTAAAAAAAAAAACCAAAAAAAAAACAACATAGATATAGCCCATGAAGAGAGAAATTTTACATTAAAAAAATAATTAAGAGTGTTGGATATTGAACTGGCATACAATTAAATGGAATTTTTGAAATGGCATTCTTGAATTAATTTCATGGGCGTTAACATCTTGTTTTGGTACTAGTTACCTCCCTTAGACTTTCTTTATGAAAAGACCGGATAATCTAGCCAATGACCTATTATTCTCAAATGTTGACAACGCATCCAAATTAATATTCGCAGAATATTTTTCTGGATGATAGAGACTAAAGTAGACAAGTAAAACGAAATTTTGAACTATAAAAAACGAAACGAAATAGGATCTGTGTTTTAATCAGATTGGTGTTGTCATATAGTCGAACTCATGGTTTTCGTTTTAGATCAAATTTGCGACGCTGTTCTCTGACACATCATTATCAATACGTTGAAAGTGGAATTATGGACATCAGCCAGTAGTCTGTTCTTTTGGACAAGTATCAAGGGCAATTATAACTAAGAAGAATACAAACCTTGAATGTAAAATTGGAGTTCACGCTGAATTTCTGAATTGGAGAGTTAACATAAATATATTTTTTTAGATCTATAAAAGAGATTCTTGGAATCTATCTTGAGCTATATTTACCATGTCAGGGTGTCTTCGAGCACACTTCAAATAAGAAGAGAACAAGATGTATTAATGAGCCAGTAATATCGTTTTGATCGAAACGATACAGAGCGACTGAATAAAAAAAACAAGTTCATGTAGAGCTCATTATGGTCTCGCGGATCAACTCAGGTTGTGCTTGGTATTGTTTAGTCCGGCTGGTGCAAATCAGCAGGACATTAAATCCAATTCTCTGTGTGTGTGTGTGGGGGGGGGGGGGGGGAGGGGGCTGACGGGTTTAGTTCTAGAAAAGGTTTTAACTATAATTTTGTAACTTTATTATGTTGTATGTGTATGCGCCAAATAAATCTATCTAGGATGTTGGCATACAACTTGCATTTATGTGAGTGTGACTGACAATGACATTTTCAGTCAGGGGCCCCATGCAAGCTTAATCCGGCCCTGTTGGTTGAATATGATGAGAGAAGACACATGGAATTAGAAAAACTTGTTTATTATTAAAACGATGATAACTATATTATAACATATAATCAAAGTTAATCAAAGATGGTATAGTCAACAAATTAATGACATTTAAAATGCACATTTAAAACCATAAAAACATATTTTCAAAAATTTAACAATAAAATGAAAACACTTCAAAATTCTAATAGTATGTGAAGGAGGACCGCACTACACGCAAAACAAAAATCTACAAGATAAACCTGCGGACAAGACAGAAAATAGACATTGCCCCAAATAAAAAAATATCAAATCAAGTGAATGGATTCGGGGGCCAGCCGTAAGCGTCCAATGCGCTGTACAGTCCCGGGCCTGTGGTGACACAGACTTCACTCGAATTTAAAAACAATAAAAAGACTTACTATTAGTATTTCCGATACTTTCCTAATAGAGACGTAAAATAAAATATTAATCCTATATCTACATTACACAAATAAATTACAAAATGAACACACTTCAGAAATCTAAGTATTCGGACCATTTGCGATTTTATTATTCATATTCATATTTCCGATACTTTCTTAATTGAGACCTAAAAATAATTAATCATATTAATGACATCTAAAAAACATAATAGTAAATTTATAAAAGTGCTGAAAAATATACATAGATCTATATACATTTAACAATTCACAAAGACAACAATGTAGCACAATATGAAGTAATATTATTATCCGTAGTAATATAAATAAGAGAGCGCACCGGGAGATAAACGACACATAATAGCACAACTGGGTTCATTAATAGATACCAGGCCTTTCCTAGAAAACTACGCCCAATCGCCCAATAAAAAAGAACTGTTGCTGTCTAGGCAATGTAACTGCTGTTATCAAGGCAATGTAATTGCTGTTTTCAAGACAATGCAACTGCTGGTGTCAAGGCAACACAGCTGTTGCTGTCAGGGCAAGGTAGGTATATTACAACGATAGGGCTTGAACCTAATTTGTATTTAGGTCAATTAGTGTTAATTTGGCTTCGAACAGTACCAAATGCATACCATTAAATTTCCGTTTCGGAATAGTAAGCGGAAGTCAATTAATTTAAGTAATAGACCGGGATTTATTCATAAAACTGAAACAGATGGGAAAAATCGAAAAATATCAACCACGCTGATTAAGTTTCTGTTTAAATCACATTTTAACTATTTAATGAATGCTGTTAAATTTACCATCGAAGTTTCATTTCAAATAGTACTTTATTTTAGTAGCTCGGACAACTGTGTTCTTTTTGGCACTAAACTATTGTTTGGTTTCTGTTTTATCAACCGTAGCTTCTTCATATGTCGGTGGATGTTCAGGAGCTGCACCAGGCATTGGCATTACTGTAAAAATACACAAAACATAATCTTTAAACCACAAGGTGAAAGCTAGCCAATCAAACGCCGTTTGGACTTGGTCGACAAAACCATACAAGGGATTTCGTGACACGCAGGGCGCTGGCCTCTAATTTTGCGTTGAGTGGCCTGATAAACCAGACTATTTGATACAGTTTGTAAACTTTGTCAACGAAGCAATACAATACTGGAATACAACACAAAAGAGAAAGTTAAGCAGTTATACAGATCTTGGCTTAAGGTGATTGCCGGCCAAGAAACTCGTACGTTGCTGTTTATTTGAGAGCCTTATGCCAAGATTCAGATAGTTGCTTGGCATATCGTACTATACGAATAGAAACCTTGTAGTATCTAGACTGTACTTACTTATACATGTAGATCGGTAGGCTGGAATACAAGGATGCAAGAAGGCTTCGAGACCCGGCCAGAATGAGCACATAACCGCATTATCACGCATATACGGTGCTAACCACGGTTTCGTTTCTCTCGTCGCTTCAAGACATGCATATGCCATACCTGTTTACATTTGCTAAAATAGTTTGTGATGATCAATAACCAAGATAAATGGTACCGCCATTTTGGTTGGTTACCAAGCCCTGACATAAAGACTTTGTCAGACACAAATTGCCATACAATGCTTTTATTATAATATGCGTTTTGTGATAGTATTTTGCGGCTGACAAGTGCCTCATGTCCACCCTTGTTGGTTACCAGAAATGATTACCGGAAACGAATGATTGTTTCATTTTAGGGGGCCTTAGAACAAAAGTTGTGGATTTTATTATATAATGTTTGTATATAAAACGTATTCTAGACTTACTGGGTTGTTGTGATGTCGATTGCTGTTGTGGTTGTTGATAATATCCTGGCTGGAAATTTTGTCCCGGGTGGACATATATGATTTGTGTTGGATATTGTGGATAGGGTATTGTGGTGTTTGGCATCTGTGTAAAGTTAGGCCCCATTACAATGCCGGGTGCAACCGTAGAACCATAATACATTGGTTGTTGGGGTTGTTGTGGTTGTTGTGGTTGTTGATTCATGATGATGCCATCGTTTGTTCTTGTTGTCACTAAATTATCACCGCCAGTTCTTGTGTTAACTTGACCGTAGTTCAACTGTTTCTGTGCAGCTTGGGTCAAGTTTCTGTTCTCAGTCAAATATAAATTATGTTCTTTCAACAAACAGGGCAGACGACAGAAATCAATCAACCAGCCGACACCCAACAAACCAAAAGTGAAAAAGTAGATGAATCCCCATACGTAACGTCGGAGATAGAAATGATGAAGTCCTATCCACCCTAATGGGAACCACAACAGATAAATGTCGTCCATATATCTGATCCCTGCATCTCTTGCACCCTCATCAATCTCTCTTGTTCTTTGTACCAAATTGTAGCAACGGAACCAATCTACCACCCACCCGACTCCTAACAGACCAAAGGTTAGCGTGTAGAGAATACCCCAGTATGGTCGGTTCAAATAATAATGGTGAGCACCGAGAATACCCAAGGGTGAAATGCAAAGAATGTAGGTGGCAAACATGGACTTCCTTTCATATTGATGTCCACATGGGTTTTCGTTGCAATCTCTGACCATATATGGAATACGAAACAAATCAACCAACCAGCCTATTCCACACAGGCCGAAAGTAAAAAAGTAAAGCAACCCTTGACCTGGTCGACGTAAATAGAACAAATGAAAACCTGAAGAACAAGAACAATTTCAACATTAGATATTAAGGATAATGTTCAATTTAGTATCAGTAATTTTTATATGTAAATATTTTCAAGAGTGAGTTATCTTATGAATGGGTAACAGCCTACGGTCCTAGGATGTCACATGGAGACCCATAAATTTGTTACATCTCAGAGACCACTGTAAACGTAATGGCCACGTCAACATTGTCTTGTCAAGATCTTAAAAAATATATGCTAGCCAAAGTACTTAAAATATCACGCGCAGTTTGATGCTGGGGATTTAGATGAATAAAACTACGTATTACGTTGTTATCCTATGCTAAATTATTAGGAACCAACCACCAATAATATAATAAACGTACCTAAAAGGCCAAAGGGAAACCAAAGAAGATAAGCATCAACTTTTTTCCTGGTCTTCTCTTTTGAGGCATCTCTCAATCTTTCATTGCAGTCTTTGACTAAACATGGTATCCTAAACATGTCGACCAGCCATCCCACTCCTAGTAAACCAAAGGTAAATAGATAGGCCACGAAGAACCAGGGCCGTCTTAGATATAGGTGATGGGCTCCAGTCAATCCAAGAACAAAACACAAAATATAGGCATCGACAACTGACTTTTCAATTGCTTTAATCGGGGTAATGGTGATCTGGGCTTGCAATCCACCACTCATCTGATGTCCTTGTTGCGTTAAGTAGCTCGGTTGGATTAAATTGGTCTGTGGCAATGGCTGCGCTTGGTAGCCACTTTGAGGTGGTTGTACTTGGTAGCCATTTTGAAGTGATTGTGCTTGGTAGCCATTTTGAAGTGGTTGTGCTTGGTAACCATTTTGAGGTTGCTGATGGTAATAGGTCCCTTGCTGTTGTTGCTGCAAAGCCCTTTCAACATCATTATCTTGTGGTGGACCCGTTTTACTCATGATTATAGCCCACTAAAATTATAATAACGGTAACCATTAATAATACGGTACATAATGAAACTGGTGATGAATAAAATCTGATACTCATCTTTTATCATACCATAGAGTCACCAATAAAAACAAAACAAACAAGTATGGGATTCTCCATTTAATTGACCTAAATATTGACTGGGTTCTTTTTAAGTCAAAATAATGGATTTGATTGAGTTAGTCTGGTGTATTATTTCAATTGCTGATGGGAAACGTTATATCGGTAATATTCCATGTAATTGACCTAAATATTGACTGGGCTCTTTTAAGTCAAAATAATGGATTTAATTGAGTTAATCTGGTGTGTTATTTCAGTTGCTGATGGGAAACGTTACATCGGTAATATTCCAATAGTGAGTCAATTCAATTCCAGTGTTTAAGATCGGGTTATAATTGTTATATTTTAGATTAAAGTTTTTATATTAAAAATGGTTCATTTCTGTTCACTATCCTATCTACAAAGACATGATGAACTGAAATTCCATCGATCTATGTTGCTCCCTATGTAAATGGTACATTACATCGCCAATTTTATGTTTCGCAAAACCTAATTATTGATTTGTTTTAATCCGATTGAACTGAAGCCATGAGATTATCTAAGTTTGATATTTGATCTTGTTTCCACAATTAAATGTTAAATAATCAATCTGAGTACATATTAGTGTGGATTACGCTGTGAGAAATTTGTTATTTTCCGAAAGACGTATATCTGGCATAGTTACTGTAGTTTAAGCTGTAACTGTATTACACAACACGAAAACCTTTAGTGTAATATTAACCACATTCAAATACTTAGAATTTATACTAAGAATTAAAGTAAGAAGCCATCAGTGAGGCTGATGTCCCCCGCCGAAATCCCAAAATAAATAGATGACACATATTCATTAATCAAAGTTATGTTGTACCAAAGCATCTACCAATGAAATTGCTTAGCTCTGCTTAGCTTTGGCTCGAAATGTTAATCATTGAACTCAGTCAAGACATTCACTTAATGAACATCTACATCAAGTTTAAACATTCTACCTCAATTAAAAGCAGAGTTGTTATGTTCCAAAGTCTTGACCAATCAAACTGCTTATCGATCCTTAGCCAAAGCAGAAAATTCTCATCATCAAACTTAGTCAAGCTAATGATGTAATGAATCTATACTCAGAGTTTCATCACTCTCACTTAATTAAAACCAAAGTTATCGTGCCCCTAAGCACCAAACAATCAGATTGCTTATCTCTGATTACCGTAAGCAGACAATGTTTATCATCGAACTCCATCAAGGTATTCATCTAATGAACGCCTACACCAAGTTTGAACATTCTACCTCAATTAGAAGGAGAGTTATCGTATTCCAAAGTCTCAACCAACCAAATTACTTATCGCTCTGCTTACCCTAAGCAGAGAATGCTTATTTATGGAACTTACTCAAGCTATTGATGTGATAATACTATACAACAAGTGTCTTCACTCTCACGGTCTCACTTAATTAGAACTGAAGTTATCGTGTCCCAACGCATCAACCAATCAAATAATTTATCTCTGCTTACCCTAAGCAGAAAATTCTCATCTTCGAACTCCGAACTCAATGTGTTCAAAAGTCTCAACCAATCAAATTGCTAATCGCTCTGCTTGCCCTGAGCAAAAAATGTTCATTATCGAACTTAGTCAAGGTATTGATGTAATGAAACTAAACACCAAGTTTCATCACTCTCACTTAATTAGAACTAAAGTTATCGTGTCCAAAAGCATCAACCAATCTAATTTCTTATCTCTGCTTACCCTAAGCAGAAAATGCTCATCTTTGAACTCCATCGAGGCATTGGCCTAATAAACACTTACACCAAGTTTGAACATTCTAGCTCAATTAGAAAGAGAGTTATTGTGTCCCAAAAAGTGTGACGGACAGACAGACGGACGGACGGACAGATAGACGGATGAACCCATTTTAATAGTCCCCTGCTTTCTTTGAAAGGCGGGGGACAATAAGTCAAAGAATCAAATAATGTAGTGCTAGAAAGAAAGTTTACATTTCGTGTGTGTCCAAATTGGCCGGCGTCAATATGTAAAGTTCTACCTTTACTGACTCCAGTCTCAGGTACGCGACATATCAGTGTGTGAGAGAGAGAGAGGGGGGAGAGGTTGGACATACCTTGTGATACAGCGCGCAAGTGCTAACCATTCAGCCATCAAACCCCCGGCGACATATCAGTGAACGCGGGCTATCAGAATGTAATATATAATTAAATACAAATGTCTTGAGGGTGAATTCCAGTGTTTATAGGTTATTCCCGGTGGATCGGGTGTTTAATATTCCCCGATCGCAGTGTAGCCCAATGACGTTATTTGTATAGCCAATCTACCAACCCCAATGCCAGTAATTGTTTTGTTAGCATTTATCTAACTCCCCAAATTTAAGCAAAGACTGTTGCTAATAAGTATACAAATAACCTTGCCTATAATATTACATACCTATTTAATATGATATATCCTCTTACAGTTGATTATAGTTTGACACTGTACCGTATGTTGAATGATTATCTCTATATATACGATTTGTTTGATCACCGTCTTGTGATACTAGTCACGTGACATTTTGATATCTTTTATTTACACTGACGTCACTTTAAATGAATAGTGGTCGAGTAAATATAACTGGGTAATCAGTCTATTCAGCGCGAGTATGTGACCTGGGTTGTGGATATATACAATACATTGATTCATATAAGTCTAATGATAATTTGGCGTACCCAGGATTGAATCCTATACTAAGAGACAACTTTCGTATCGTGTAGCACTTGCCACTACAATCTGTTTGATGCCACCGCTGCTGCTATGGGACCATTCCACGCCATTTTTTTTTAAAGATTTTGCAACAGCGGGGGTAAAAGGAGGGGGGGGGGGGGTCCCGTGTTTTTTTCCCCGGGCTTGCGGCGGGTCCGGTGGTCCGTCCGGGCGCAAATTTTGAAATTTTGATCCTCTAAATGACCATTCTGAGCTATTTTGACAGAGAAAATTTCACTACACCGACTCTGACCTACCAATCATGCCCCGAACTTTGAAGATTTTAGCTTCACTGGGGGGAAAAAGTTTTCAGTACACTTTGACATTAAAAAATGGTCTGGACCATTCAATTTCAAATCACCCATTGAGGTACTTACTTTACCAATGAGGTAAACGGCGCCCACTTGCTCTCTATTTTATCTCTCTCCTTGCACGCGGGTTTCAAGTATATGCAGACTTTTATCGGTATGGTTTATCAAAGGAATTATAATTTTTATCATTTGTAAGGGTTATTTGTTGGTGTATCTTTTTCATTGTCATATTCGAAAATTTCAATTTTGGGGCTACATAGGATCGACATTCTTTCTTATTAGCTGTAAAGTATATTATTCTGAATAAGGTATTCTTACTTGTGAAGTGCTTATATCTAAAGTGAAAACTTGTCGGAAGGGATACCAGTCGAAAATTCATCGAAATTCTTCGATTTTTTGTTTTTTATTTTCAAAAACTTCCCAGATCCCATCGAAATGATTGCAGATTTATTGATAGCACTACGGCCGCATCATCAACACATTATATCAGCTAATTTTGATATGAAAGAAAATTTAACTGACCTGTGATTTTAAGTTTCATACATAAAATGAGGTGGGGTTATATTAAAGGGACAATAACACTCTTGCTGGCTTGAAAGCTCCAGAAAATAAATAATATCTCTATCTAAGTACTAGATGTTTAAGTGTCCTACCTTTTGTGTAAATTATCCATTACACCCTATTTTACTTGTCCAGATGATTCGAAAATATTTTTAAATCGAAGTTTCATTTGAAAAGGTTTACGTTAGACGTTTCAAACCATTATGTTGAATTTTTCAAAATTTTTAAATAAGGTGTGTTAAGATGAAATTTGTATCATCAATTAATTGAAATAGTCTAAAATAGTACAATTTGTTGACCAGAATAAAGATTGGGACATATTATTCAGTTACAACAAGAGTGGTATTGAGCCTTTAAGGTGTCCTGTAAGCAGTATAAAATTTACGATAAGAGTTTCGGTTTGTTATCATTCGTTAATCACGACCTTGTGCGTAAGCATCTAAAAATAGAAATTAGTAATAGTCAGTTTTCAAATGGCCACAGATCACTAATGTTTTCCCAATGACTTTAATGTTAATTCTCGTCTCTTAGACCGGCTCTAACTTTTTCCCAAATTTTCGTTGGGTAGAACGCTTTCTACCACAGATGGAGCAATATGTGGCAACCTCTTGCTCAAAAGCACGCATGAGGGTCACCATGAAAACCTTGAGATACACAAGCTGGAAGTAGAGATAAATAAACATGCAATTTTTGACCCTACATTTCAACCTAACCAACCTCTCAACTCTTGTATCCTTCCGCCTCAAAATCATGAATATTCACCAAAACCTGACAGAAAATATATTTTCAAACCTTTTTCTTCGATTCTACACCAAAAAGTCAACAAAAATCGGCATGCAAAAGGGGGAAAAAGGAGAAGGGAGAGAAAGACTAAAAATAACTTTCGCCCTACATTCGGCGTAGAAATATTTGGTGAGCTGTGTCCAAATGAACATAATTACGTCCGAGCTTAAAGTATCCACCAATCTACCACCAATCTATGGGCTTCCGAGTATATATGTATATAGCTTGGTACTCGGAAGCCCATAGATTGGTGGATACTTTAAGCTCGGCCGTACCGGTATATATATATATTTAAAGCAGTCGTAACCATTTATAATTTATTCCGTAAAGCAGTTACAACTCATCCTCATCGAATGGTCGACAGTTGGGTATGGGGCAAATAGATGCCATAATCTTGAACTTGGTACATAATATTATAGCCTATTGTTATTTAAGCTTATTTATAGATTGTTGTAGACAATTAACGTCATGCCAATGAGAGGTCCGCCTGGATTACAAATAAGATGTGTGTGGTTAATCAGTATAGAAGAGTATCGCTGCCAATACTGTCTTTTTGACTGATTATATTGTAGAAAAGTACAAAGTCCTAATACCTCTAAGGCCAAAGTTAAGATACATTATGAGAGATTTGATAAAGAGCTGGTAGTCCTCACTATAATGGTTAAAAACTAGATAATGTAAAGGGAATTTGCTGAAAATTTCAGTCCAATTGATCCACCCTGAACCGAGAATTTAGCGATTGAATTTTAGGCCTAGCCTCGATCATCATTACTAAATTATCCAATTATATACGTCCACATTCATAATGTGGATGTATATTGCCGTCGCCCCTGTCTGTGTGTGTGTGTGTGTGTGTGTCGCCTACAGGCCACAATTCTTAAGTCATCTTGAAACTGTACATACTTATTCCTTATACCCTAAGGATGATCCCTATTGTTTTTAGTGCATGCCCGATCCCCAGGGGCAGAGCCACGCCCATTACTTGTATTTGTTTGTCGTCTACAGGCCGCATTTCTGAACGTATCATCTTGAAACTTTGCATACTTATTCTTTGTACGCTAAGGAACAATCCCTATCTTTTGGGGTGCATGCCCAACCCCCAGGGGCAGAGCCACGCCTATTTTATTTTTGTGTGTGTGTCGCCCACAGGCCACAATTCTTAATCGATCGTCTTGAAAAATTTTCATATGAATTCCTTATACCCTAAGGATGATCCCTATTGCTTTTGGTGCATTCCCGACCCCCCCCCCCCCCCAGTGGCAGAGTCACACCCATTTCTTGTATTTATTTGTCATCTACAGACTGCTTTTCTTAACGTATCACCTTGAAACTCTGCATACTTATTCCTTCTATCCTAAGGAACATCAGGACCACGCCCATTTTCTTTTTGTGTGTCTATGTGTCACTTACAGCCCGCAATGCGTAATCGATCGTCTTGAAAACTTTTTTATACTTATTCCTTATACCCTAAGGCTGACCTCTATTATTTTTGGCGCATGCCGACCCCCTGGGAGAGAGAAATGAAATGAAATGAAATGGGGTTTAACGTCCTACTGTTCTGCTTCTATACTGGTCTAATGAAGACGGGCATACGCCATACAGTGTGCTATGAGGGAAATTTTGCCCGGGCAGCGGCACTATCGCCTACTTTTATAACGAATTCCAACTGCCAGGGGATCTTTTACGTGCATTCCAATATATACACGGGACCTCGGTTTTTCGTCTTATCCGAAGGAGTAGACAGCTGTCCTTGTCAGCTGGGACAGAGCCACGGCCAATGTTTGTGTGTCTTGTGTTTCGCCTACAGGCCGGAATTCTTTAAATATCCTTTTGAAACTTTGCATACCTATTTCTGATACCCTAAGGATGACCCCTATTGGGTTTTTTTGGGGTGATTGCCCAAACCCCAGGGACAGAGCCACGCCCATTTTTCTTTGTGTCTCAGTGTGTTGCCTACATGCCACGATTCTTAATGGATCGTCTTTGAACTTGGGATATGTATTCCTCATAGCCTAAGGATGACAACTGCATGTCCCGATCCCCAGGGGATGAACCACGCCCATTTTTTGTGTTTATCGTTTACCGGCCGCAATTCTGAATGGATCAACTTGGTACTTGACATATGTATTCCTTACAGCCTAAGGGCGTAAACTATTAATTTTGGTCAATGCCCCGATACCGAGGGGCAGAGCCACGCTCAATTTTTGCCTTTAGCGCCTGAGGGACAATTCTGAATGGATTATCTTGGAACTTGATATACTTATTCCTTATACCCTAAGGATGGCAACTATTGAAGTTGGTGCATGCCCCCCCCCCCCCATTTCCGCGGTGTCACACCATCTTTTTGTTGATATTTTGTTTGTAAATGATATACAGGTCGCAATTATTAACAGATTTGTATCCAATTTGGAATGATTCAGCATAGGGTTGTACCTATATTTATTGGTCCATGTCCAATCCCCAGGGTTTTATCTACGGGCTGGAATTCTAAATGGAGCATATTTATTCCTTATACTGTAAGGATAGCAACTATTTATTTTGGTGCATGTCCCGACCCCCTGGGGCAGTGTCACACCCACTTTTTTGTTAATATTTTGTCTGTAAATTTGGCAAAACAAACCCAACGCCTAACCTTCTTTGCCTCTTATCATATTACAGCCATTTCATATTCCATTCTCTTCATTTTAAAAAGTACCATATCGACCAAAGCAGGAATGTGGGCGTATATTGCTGCGTAATCGATGCTTTTGTTTGATTTAATCATTAACGAATGTGCCAGGAAAGAAAATGATAGATTGGAAAGAAACATACTTTCCAATGATGTGTAATACGATAACTGGAATTTCGTATTAAGACCCGTATTTTGACATTTTATATGATATTTTCTCAAGTTATGATCGAAAATGTGCCAGACAATAATAAATTATTCGCAAAAAGAAATGAACGCCTTTTTCACTGATATGTAACATGATTTCTGAGTTTCGTATTAAGACCCATATTTTGATATTGCATTTGTCAAGGTTAAATAAATTGCTTTTAGTGTGTTGGCTCATAGTGTGCCAGGTTTATCCCGGCGTCGTTTCCGTATTATGTTAATAAGTTGCATGATATCCTACATTGACATGTCAAAGAAAGTGCTGTGCGTAAGATGCTTTGCAGA